ACCCCGAGCCCCGGCCGTGCGCTCCCGGAGAGCCCGGTCCCCTCGGTCACGTCTTTCCCAGGACGGTCCCAGCCCCCAAGGATCCCCTCCAGTCTCCCCCAGGAGGCCGCCTGTCCCCTCGGCCGCCTCCCGTCAGCAGAGGCCCGGTCCCCAGGCGTGTCCCCCCGGGGTTCTAGCCCCCTTGGCCGTGTCCCCCCAGGAAGATCCCAGCCACGGAGTGTCATGGTCCCCTCGGCTGCAGCTCGAGGAAGGTTCCAGGCCGCCGGGGCTCAGCCCCCGGTCGGGTACAGCCCCTCGGCAGAGCGGCCACCATCCCCCTCACCTGGGCCACCCCGCGGCCGGGGGGACGATGGGCCGGTGCGGCGGCAGCGGGGCACAGCCCCGGCTCTGGGGGGAACGGTCTGTCCTCCCCCCGGCACCGGGTGCCGTTGACCCCTGTTCTGATGCAGTTTTCAGATACCGGCAGCTCCGCAGGACCGGCTCCGGCCGGTCCTGCCTCCAGCCCTCGGCTCCACCGGCTCCTGGAGCACGCCAGGCCTGCTGGGTTTTGCCACCTCCCCAGGCTACATGCGGCCCCTCCTTGGGAAAGGCAGCAGGTCTGAGTCAGGGGAAAAAATGGGCTTAAATTGTCTGCAAAACGTGTTCCTGCTTTAAGATGCTGAGGGTTTGTGTTTTTTCTAAGCAAACAGGCGCTGACCCTTCCCAGGCATGTCGAGATCCTGAGAAGTGCCGTGTCCTGCCTGGCAGTGGTGGAGACAGAGCTGCCTTCCCCTGCCTGCCCCTGCTGCCCCTCGGACAGGCACGTCCTTGGAGCTCCGGGTGCTGCATCACCTGGCGTGTCCTGGGTGGGAATCCCCAAAGTCTTGGGGCTGCTGTAGCTCTGCCTGGGTGCCGTGGATGTGACAGTAGCTCTGTTCCCCGCCACTTCTGTCTCTGTAGCGGGTGAGGTCGTGCCGCAGGGTGGGATGCTGCGGGTCGGATCCTGCACTGCTCCTGCCAGTGCTGGGCAGGAGCCTCTGGGGACAGGAGCACTCATTGCGTTCCCCTTGCCCTCCCCAGGCACCCCATCAGGGCTGGCGTTTCCCCACCCCAGGAAGGCTCCCAGACCTGCTGTGGGTCAAGGCAAGAGGTGTTTGGAGCAGGGGATGCAGCCATTCGCCATAAGGAGCCCCAGAGGAAGCAGGGGGTTTGTCTCTGCCAGGAGCAGGGAAGAAGAGCCTGAATTGGGCTTGGGCTCAGCTGTGCTGCCAGAGCAGGCCAACACTAGAGCTTGGGGCTGCCTCCCCACAGGCTGTCCCATCCCCTTGGCCAGGCAGTGAGGTTTTTGCCCCTGGTTTCTCTTCCTGGGCTGGTGCCAATGAGCCCCTTTTCCCCCTTGGGCTAGAGTGACAGTGCCACCATAGCAGAGGTCTCTGGCAGGGGAGGACCAAGGCACTCAAGCGCCGCTGTTGCTGATAGCACTGACCCCTCTGTTCCCGCAGGAGATCATCGATCTGACCTTCGAGGACACGAGCACAGGCCCAGCGCCTTGTAGGAGCCTCACCATCATTGACCTGACGGAGGACACATGCAGCCCTCCCCACAGCCCCAGCTGTACTGACCAGCACCCCAAGCCCGTGCCTGCTGTTCCAGCAGCACACACATCCCATGTCCAGCTCTCATCCACCACAACACAAGAAACAGAGGCAGTGGTGAGGCCGAGCCCTCTAACACCCTGGCATGGTGCTCCCACAGAGCCCAGTGCCACCACGGACACAGCAGAAAGCACAGAGAACTGGAGCTGCTACTCGCCCCCCTCCAACTGCCACAGCTCCTCCTGCAGCCCAGAGCAGAACTGCAGCACTACCATTTCTAACAGTGACTTGGGCTCCCTGGCCAGCGCAGAGCTGGACTTAGAGCCGCTGGCCCTGTCCTTCTCCAGCCTGGACAGCAGCAGCAGCTCGAGAGATGGTGACCCAGAGGAAGAGACTCCCCACCTCTGCCAGCAAAAAGAGCTCCCCCCAAGGCTGAGCCCTGCCCCAGCCGTCCCCACAAGCCCAGAGAAGCCCCAAGAGCCTTTGCTGGTAACAGATGACTTACCGCCACACAAAGCGATCCAGCAAGTGACCCCAGACAGGACCAAGGTTGACAGCAAGGCCTGGCTGAACAAACTGCACTATTTCAGGAGGAGCGGGGTCCAGCACCTCTTTCTCCAAGGCATAGCATCCAGCAGGGAAACACAGCAGGTAAACAGGGTTCAGAGCAGCTGCTGCCAAGCCCAGCCAGAGCCTGCTCAGAGTAGCCCCTATGGTAGAGGATGGAGCAGGGGCAGCCCCTGCTCCGCTTTCCCTTTTTGGGGAAGCTTTGCCAGGCATTTGGGATCTCTGGTTATTGAAGTTCCCTTCATGGCAGGTTTCATGTCACAGCTGGGTCCCTCTGTGTCAGGGGAGCTGGCTTTCACCCATTGCTTTGCCTTGTATGCAGCAGGAACCTGAGCTCATCTCCAGAGGGAAGCTGAGCATGGTGCACACCACCATGGAGGAGAACTTCCTGGAGGGCACCTTGGATTTCCTGAGCGAGTTTGTCTCCCGCCAGCACTGTCCCCCCAAAGAAATTATCTCCCACCTGATCAGACAGATGCTGTTGAACTCCCACCAAGGGGAGATCCTGAAGGACACCTACATGTTGCTGATGAAGATCCAAATGTATGTGTTCCCTTTGCCACGGTGCCCTGGGGCTGGCTAGGTGTTCCCAGGGGCCTGCCCAGCATAAAGGTCCATGGTCCTCATCCACAGAACAGGGAGCAATTTCCCCTGTAGCCCAGGGTGATCCTCCTGGTATCAGCACAGGCACACCCTGGGCTGTCTGAGGGTGGGTCAGGGACAGCCTGTGACACCAGGGAGTCCTCTAGGACAGAGGAGTGTGTTTGCCTTGCTCCTGAAGCACAGATCTCATTCTTCACTGCAGTGACATGGCAGAAATGCCTTCCCTGGGCTGTAGCAGGGTCCATAGGCTCGAGGTGGCTGAATTGGTTTTCCTGCTGTCCTCGGGGTTCCTGCGGAGAGGCACAATGTTTTATGAGGCCACAAGCCCAGGAGTCCTGAGCCTCTCCATGGAGCACAGCCCCAGTGAGGTGCTTTCAGAAAATGAACATAGTCAGGGGAGGAGAAAGGGAGAGGGCAGAGATGGAGAGAAGGCAGGGCAGGCCCCCGAGCAAGTGGGGTGGGAAGGGCTGGGGAAGGGTGGGGGGCTGCCATGCTTCCAGGCAGACAGTCGGGCAGTTCAGTGCAAATGGACAGTGCTGTCCTTGCAGGCTCCATCCAGCCAACGCTGCCACAGTGGGATGGGACTGGATGCTGCTGAAATACATCATGGAGGAACAGGTACTTGGCACCACGTGTCTCACATTGGGCAGGGATCATCCAGGACACGGCCTGAGGGTAAGCATTGTCCCAAGGCCTCACATGGCTGTGCTCTGCTGCAAAATGGGCCAGTCCAACATGTAGTTTTATTGCAGCTACTGAGGGCAGCAAGTCCCAGTTGGATATCCCACATGCATTCACAATGCTCCCTATCCTGCTGCTTAGCTGGAGGCAGGTTGTGTCATCTGAAGAAGGCACAGCAACACAAAGCCTCTGTGGGTCACAGTGGTAGAACTGAGCCAGCCAGCCCTTCCTGGAGCTATTCATCAGTCATATCTGCTTATTCCCAAGACAGACAAATTCCCTGGTGCTCCTCAATCTGTGGCTCTGCCAGGCTCATACTATCTACATCTGCCCTCAGAACAAGCCCCCTGGCTGGCTCCTCTTCCTGCAGTATGTGGTGCAGACCCTGGAGGACGACTTCCAGCAGAACCTGAGGTTGCGCATGCTGCAGAAGTCAATTGCTAAGAAAGTGCTTTCATGTGACAAGTGCTTCAACAATGTCAAGTAAGGGATGCCGCCGCCTCCTCCCCCCTGTTCTCTAACCAGATGCTGAGAGGCAGGAGCTCAGGCAACATTTGTCAAGACTCTAGGTTAGACTTTCCAGGAAACAAGTTTGGGAGACAGAGGGAGCTGTAAGGCCCAGGTATAAAGAACAGGGGCAGTTTTACAAAAGCGAACCAGCAGAGATTATGCAAGTCATTTCCAGCTGCAACCTAGTGGGTTTTTCCCAGGAATGAGGTCAGATTTGTATTGCTTGAGACAGGACTGAGGAAGAGGCAGGTCTGTTGACAAGTGTATATATCAGCACAGCTGCTCCCTAACCTGTCCAAGTGGGTGGGATGTATTCTTCATCCTTGGGGTCTTTCCTTAAGCTCCAAGTGGATCTAGAGGTCAGAATGCAGCAAAACCAGGCCCATCCCCACTAAAGTTCCTGTTTCTGTCCCAGGGAGGTGGTCGAATGGTTGGTCATAGCAGTTACTGGAGTCGGGTTCTCCAAGCCCCAGAAGCAGCCACAAGAAACTACACCCTCTTCAGCAGAAGCAAGGGCCGAACACAGCTCATCTGCACCATGTCAGGCCAGCACTGACCAGGCAGAGGTGGCTCCACCAGCTTTCTTCACCCAGAAGTAAGCCCCAGAAGCCCCCAACTCCTCGCTGGCTCATCGTGGGGCCCAAGTCAGGGAGGAGCCAGAGTGGCTCCCTGTCAGGTCAGGAAGCCAGGCTGTACCTGTGACCGGTTTTGCTGGGTCTCCTTCGGGGTAGACATAGATTTGGTGAGCAAGAGACTTCCTCACCTGGTAGGAAACTGGCTCAGTAAGCTCCTCCTCTTGCATGTAGCATAAGGCTGGCTCTTGGCCCACAGCTCAGGCTGCCTAGTGTTGCTCCACCAATGCTCAGTAGAGCCACTGAGACCTCCTGAGGGCCTGTCTGGGGATTAGCTCTGCTTCCAAGAGCATCAAATTCAAAAGTCACCAAGACACATCAAATCTAGCCTACTGTTTCCTATGTCCCTCACTGCAGGGCACAAGGTGGAACAAGGTGCCATCCCTACTGCTTTACTTTGCAAGCTGAGGGGTAGTGTCTCTTAGTGTTGACTGTCTCTAACCCAGGGTGATGCTCCTGCTCCAGCGGATGTTGTCCATCGCAGTGGAAGTGGACAAATCTCCCAACTGCAGCTCCTGTAAGATCGCAGATGTGATATTCCCATTTATACTGAACATTCCTCTGAGGAGCCAAAGGTGAGAGAAACATACACAAGGCAGCATCTGCCTGTGCGAGCAATAATCTTATTCCCAATTTACATCCAAGTCTGGATGCATAAAATACCATAGGGTCATTTTTGACCCAGCCAGCAAACACATGGCTGTTGGACTGACAGATCCCATGGAGATAGAACAGCACCAGCTGAACACATCTCCCCAGCTCCTGTGTTGCTGAGAAAAGTTGATTCTCCCACTTGTTATAGTTGCAGTACCTTAAAACTGTAAAGAGGGTCTGAAAAGTAGCACTCTGCATCAGCATGGTCAAATACTGGCAAACACATCACTGATTCACAGGGACAACTGAGAAGCTCATCAGAAATATAATGCAGTTCTTGCAGCTCTGCCTTGACGTACTTTTGTTTGCTTCTCTAAGAAATGCAGCATCTGAAGCCAAAGCACAAGGATTCTAGTGTAGACATGAAACCACTAGACCCACAAACATTTCAAAACTGTGTTTGCCAGCACCAGCAGTCAGCCCTTTCAGACCCTTTTAGCAGAACTTTCTCTGATCACACACCAGGTCTAATCAAGCCAAACTAACTCTAACCAAGCTATTGCTCCTCCCAGCACAGATCTCCTAGATCCAGGGGGCTGCTGACCCCACTTCACACTTGCTTGGCTGTGCTCCCTGCAAGTCAGCAGGAATGGGTAACTTCTGCACAGGCTGCTGGGCAGGGTGAAGTGAAGCAGCTAAGCTTGCTTCACAGACCGTACCGACCTCGAGTTGCCACAGGTCAGACCTAAGGATGTAAATATGTCCATGGCCAAGCTGCCTAACTATGGTCTCTATCGCATCTGGTGGTTTTCCTTCCACTGTGCTGCTGGGCAGCCCCTGCAGCAGATCAGCACTGATGGGCCACCAGGAACATGCTAGAGCAGTTGTCCCAGGTCAGGCTGTGCTGTCTCCCTCAGAATAAATCCTTTTGTCTTCCAGGGAAGCTTTCTTAAACACCATGGAGAGCCAGCTCCTGCGCTGCAAACTGCTAGAGCTGCTGTTCCAGCATAGTTGCGAGGTGCCCACGACCTTGCCCTTGTCTCTAGCCAAGATCCTGTACTTCCTGAGCCACTCCTCTGTGCTGCTGCAATACCAGGTATCTGGTCCAACTTCTTCACCTTGTTTTCTCTTGGAAAATCTCTTCTAATAACCAGTTACTGTCTTCTGTCATAGGACGAAACAGCAACATGGCAAAAATGGGATGAGATGCTGCAATACTTGAGTTTGATGCTGACAAGTTACCAAAATGTAGTACTGGGTAAGCAGCTTGTTCTGACCTTAATAAACATGCTCTTATCAAGAGACTGCAGTAGAAGAGCTGAAGTACCCTTCCTCATCACTTTTGAACTCATGGCAACTGAGTCTTAGAAATATAATGTGCCTCTGTCTGTGCTAGTAACTGTTCCCAGCAGTCAGAGCAAAGAAGTCCTGTCGCATCAAGCAGAGCACCCAACTTGCTTTGCCAGGTTTAGCCCCTAAGAAATAGCCTACTTCCTAAAGGATCTATCCCAGCACTGAGAATTACACAAGGGTGTGTTTGTACCCACTGTCTAAGTTGCACACATAGTGGGTGGAAGAAGAGGGTGGTTTAGGAGGAAAAGCAGAAGGCAAAGGGATGATAAAGCCAGGATACACTCAGCACTAGGTAGATGGGGCAGGGAGCACCACCCACAGTAGCCATGGAAGGAGCAGCATTTCTGACCCCAGGAGAGTGGCACAGTCAGAAACCACTCCTGAAAACTTTCTAAAATCATTTTACCAGAAAGTTCTGAAGTCTTTTCCCAATTTCTGCTGCTTTAGCCCAGAGTTAAGGAGGAAGGGAGAGGAAACCACCATCTCATGTGCAGAGTCTTATTCTCCCTGAAGCCCTAGATGATTACTGTTGTTAAGCTCTTTGGAGACTCTCCTCTGCAGCTGGACAGCTGTCCAGTCTGTCACTAGCACAGGAGAAAAGGATGCTACAAGCCCTGCCCACTCCCCACTTCTTGGGCTCTCTCCACATGCAGACTGACTTCCAGAAGGGGACAGTTCCTTCTTTCACCAGGCTAGTCTCATGCAGAAGCATCAAGCATAACCATGAGAGGACCAGCACAGTTGCCAACCGCTCCTCACCACAGCTCAGCGCTGCCTGCAACACGCTGCGATCTGTCCCTGAACAGGTCAGGCAGCCCACTGTGTGTTGCCTTTCCACACCAGCATTTCCTCTTGCAGAGCACTTGCGGAGCTCACTCAACGACCGGATGGACTTGATCGTTCAGAAAGCCAAGCCCAAGCTGCAAGATGATGATGACATCAGCCATCTGGACATTCAGCTGAAGATAGAGGACTTCATCAGCCGCATGCAGCAGGCTCTGGGGCAACCTTTTCCCCTGCAGATCATGGAGAAGTTGTGCATGCTTCGGGAATTGTTCCTCATTATCACTTCTACCTGATGGAGACAACCACTGCAGCAGGAAGCACAAAGAGCTTGGTGGTTCTTTGGAAAAGTGTCTCATTTACATGGTGTTGGAATTTCTTTTTAAACTTGCTTCCTCCTACAGCTTCACAAGGCACTTTGTACACTTTTAAAAAATAAATTATTTTCATATTTGCTGAGTCTTCTATCTTGGTGCCAGCTCTGCCCCAAGTGCAGAGCACTGTCAGCTGTACCTGGGGATAGCATTAGACTAACACAGCCATAAACTGACAGTAGTTTGCACAGCAAGCAAAATGCCAAATCACTTTTTCAATATTTAGGAAAAGGTAATAATATTTGAGAAAACAAAAAAAGCAGGTGTCAGCTGCAGCTAGGGCACTCACAGTGCAGTGATCCCTGAGCAATGCTGCTCAGTCCTCAGGAGAGGAACATTTCTGTTCCCAATCAAATACATCTACATGACTGCCTGAGGTGATTAGCATGTCAAGAGGGAGGACTGGATAGCAGCATTAGCTGAAAAGGCTGCTGCGCCTCTTCTGGAATGCAGGAAAATGTCTGCACTGCAGGCAAGCATGCGTGATGAATATTCAATTCAAATACACTGCCATCAACTCAAATCATAGCTGAGGTCAGGCAGCAGTCAGACATTTCTACAGGTCTCTTCAGACAGTTCAGAAGAAACAAAGGTTTGCAGTGGGAGAAAGATTCCTGTAGCTGCCCCGCCACCCCTTTATCTGCCCCTGGGGTAGTTGAGCCTTGGCAGGGTCCTAATGAAGAAAGAGCCTCACAGCAACAGGCAGCACAGTCAGGGTCAGGAATGGAGTAGTCCTGATGTTAGTGCTCACCACACAGCAAGGCCTCATCCAGAAGACTGGCTTCAGTTTGCCCAGAACTGTGGAAGGGTCTGACCTGGGGCTCACAGGTTTGCTCCTTGTTCTTGAGGAAGCCTCTTCCCAACTGCCAGATGTAGAACAAACCACTGCCCCTCTAATCCAGGGCTAAACCATCCAGGGAAAAGTGAAGGTCTGGTTTTGTGAGTAGTAGCCAGAAGCATTCCCAATAGTAACCTCCCAATACTCTCTGCCCTAGAAAGCTGCTCTCCCTACATGGCATGCTCATTCACATATATTTTCCAGTTAGGTCCTTTTAAGTGGATTAGACTTCTATAATTAGATGAGAAAAGAAGCCACATTCCAGCAAGAGGTCCATAGTTATGGATGTTATTTTCTAATCTGTTGGTCACATCCCCAAGAATGATGCTGTAGTAAAATACAGAAAGTAGAGCAAGTATATCACACCAAGAGGCCACACTCTAATCCCAGTCTTTCCAAACTGAGCTATGAGATTAGTCTAACCTAGACATGCAGCAGCAGCCTGTACCAGAGTACCTGGGTGCTTCAGGATCTATTTCATCACTTTTAGTTCTGCTAACAGTCTAGGAGCAAGGAAACCCAGTGTCCAGTTCAGACATCCCCAGCCCTGGAGAACCATGTGCTCTATCAGCAGTACCTGGGCAGCTACAAAAGCTACAGCAGCACTCAGACCAGAATTTAGAAGGTGGCAAAGCAGAGGTGGCCACACCCCTGGGAGCTGGGCACCTCCAGGTAAATACCAGCCCAGCTCCCACACTTGGGCCCACTTCTACTGTACAGGTGCAAACAGCACACAAGCTGCAAGAGAAGCAGTCTCGGGAACATGAAGAATCACCATTTGAACAGCTTAAGAAAACAAAGATTTCATGTTTCGTCTGCAGAAGCTTCATCTGAGTCTGGCTAGTTTCCCTGTCAAAAGAGTTTTACAGAGCAAACATTCCACCCTAGCACAAGTGCTGCCAGAGCCTTATTAACTGCACAGCCCCATATTTCTTCCACAGATGCTTCGTCAGCACCAACACACACCAAGTACTTCCATTCACAGGATTTTATTTTCTTGTAACAAACAAAAAAATCATACACATTAGAGACATGAATACAGACAACAAATAAATTAGTATCAAATGAGTCACTGATTGCCAAGGTGCAAATGAGTGGTGACACTGCAAACTGCTTAGTTGGGTGGGAAACTTTCAACACAATACATCACTGGCAGTGTTGTCAAAGCTCGAGAGGAAGCAGAGCCACAAAACGTGCTTCTTCAGAGGGGACAGCAGCTAGCTGAGTGAGCCAACCCTGCCTCAGCCTCCAGGAGGAATGTTTGGTTTAAGGCAGCAGAAACCTCAGAGCTCAACGGTTACCAGTTAAGTAACCTCTGTATAAAGTCCTGGCAACGGAGAAGCTCCCAGTACCAGATGCAAGGCTGCTGCTGCCACCTGGCAGCTACAGAAAGCCTGCTGCTGGCTGAAGGAGCTCTGCAACAACCATGGGATCCAGAGAGGAAAGCTGTTTGCCACAGGACAAATGAATATTACAGAGCAATGCTGCCTATAACGCTTAAAGGATTAGATGGTAGCCAGGAGTTCCTTCCACTTCTCACAAAAGCAAATGTTAGCTGTTCCCAGTAACAGGTTCTGACTAGGCCAAAAATTACATATAGCTGTATCATAGCCAGGAGGGATGTTTAAGCTTGATCTGCCCTCAGTCCTCTCCCAGCCCTGAAAAATGCATTTATTTAATGCTGAGGAAACAAAAAACCCTATTTGAGAAGTGCTGCTGGCGTCTAATACACTTCTACAGAATTCATACAAAATGTTAGGGAAAAAAAAAAAAAAAAAAAAAAAGCAGCACCCAGAGTGCCAGAACATCTGTAAGTCTGTTGCCTAGGAAAGAACAGGACAGTGTTGTTTTGCAGAAAGGAGAGAGGATTACTTCATTCAAGCCACACCAGCTCTGGTCATTTCCACATTTTTGGAGAAACATGAAGAGCTGGAAGAGAAGCAATTCTTGCTTGTTACTGCCAAGCCCTATTAGATTCTACTCCCTGCCTTTCTAGAAAGTGCCTCAATGGTCACTGGTCCATTTTTCCTTTAAAAAAATTCCAAGAACTAAGTGTTAAACAATAAGGTCACACTGGATAGTAAGGGAGCAACACATTTAAAACTGACCCACCACATTCCCAGAGCAGCTTCCTTCTGGCAGTTAATGTTGCAGTTTTCAGTGCTTGCTTGTTTTCATGATTTTCTTTTGGCATTCTCCATCTACCAGACAGAACCACAGTCCTCCTGCAGGTACTGCAGCACTGAGCAGGACAACAATCGGACTACAGGTAGACAAGCCAGCCTGCTTGTACACCACACGCAGTCCTGTCCCACGGAACGATTCAAGGTTTGACTGTGGTGAAGAGTACTGGGAAGCACATCTAGTGCAGCCTAGAAGACCCAACTGGTGCAATACAGCAGACAGGATGGTTTACATTGGTTTAGTACTAGTGCAGGATTTTTTCCCAGGCTGGCTCTAGGAGGACAGTCATAACTTTTTCTGAGATGTAGAGCTGAAGGGAGACTTTCCTATTTTACTGCAGCACAATGGGACAGGGAAGCAGAGCCTAAAGACACCCTGTAGCCCACTAAAGACACCAGAAGCATTCTTCCTAGAACCCAGTAGGAGTGAGCACATTCAGATCCCGAGGCTTGATATTATGGGAACGTGGAGATTGTTTCCTCCCTTCTGCAATTGGAATGTCCATTTTGGGGGGCTTGAAGGTGACTGGATCCTCTGGCATCCTAGTAGCCTGAGCACGCATCAGCTCCATCGGGGATGGCTTCTGGGCACCTTTATAGGATTGGATGGTAAATCCTCCTGATGAAGATAAAAATCACAGCATGTAAGAGCTAGGAAAACTAGCCAAGTCCTCCTTCCACTGCTGCCAGGAGTGAGCAGTATCACTGATGCCCAACACTGCAGAAAACCCATGCAAGACCCAGCAGATTCATGATATCTAAAGCCTATTCCACATCAGTTGCTGGCACCTCCAGTTCTTGTTCCACCAGAGAGCAGAGAAAGAGTAAAAAGCTGTCACCTCCACACCCTGCCCTTCCACTGCAGCTCAGTGCAAGTTATTCCTAGTTTCAGATCCTTGGCACAGGTTTTATCTAACTGCTTTATATTTAGGCAAAGAAATTATATGACTAGCACACATTCACAGGGTGATCCTAGAAAGTAACAAGGCAAGCAGGATAAAGCTCCAGAAATAGCTAGAAAGTTTGTTGCATGACAGTTCTCCCTTAGCTCTTCTTGCACAGCAGATTTTAGAGGACGTACCTGGATCAGTGGTGGATTTCTGGATGGCTTTGGGTCCAAAAAAGCTCCATCTTTCTGATGGCAATTTGTCTCCACCAGCTTCCATGGCAAAGTCTGGGCCAGTGAGAGAACTAGAGGATCCCTGACTAAACCAACCCCTAGGGAAAAAAAAAAAAAATCAGAGATGTATAAAACACGAGAATACATACTTCAAGTGGCCCCACTGTGTCAGGAACTTTACATGTAATCATCAGGGGCAATTTAAACTATCTTAATAGGCTCATTACCACCCAGGATGAAGATATGTATGTTTAAGTTCCACAGGCTTTCAACATTTGAACCTATCCGATACAGATGCACAGCAAGCTCTGAATTTCACCCCACTGACAGTCCCTCACTGGGTAAGAAGGTTATTTGTAGCAGTTCCCACCTCAGCAACCTGTAGGAAACCAAAGGAGGCAGTGGTCTGCCAGAACAGAGTACCTGTTTTTATGCTTAGGAGAAGAATGGGGAGTGCTGCTTGGAGTGGACTGAGCAGAAGAAGTCTGTTTGTCATCTTTCGTCATCTCTCCACTCTGCATTTTTAGCTTCTGTTAGGAGAGGCAAGAGAAACACAGAAGCAACAGAGCTTAAATACAAGACATAAGGAATAAACATCCCACTTTATTGTCAAAACTGGACAATTGTTTATATCACAGGCGGTAAAGGGTTTAAATGTCACTTCACCTAAAGTTAAACCCAGTATTACAATACTTGCATACACCCCTTAAGCTTCTTTCCACATCAGATATGAGCATTTTGGAAGTCTGCTATGCTCAAGGCACATCCTCCAGGCTAGAGAAAGCAAACACCTACAGCTTACTCTGCAATTCAGCATCACTACCCACCAGTAATGCTTAATACCAGCATTCATAGTGAGGTTGCAGATGTAGCAGAGAGCTTCCACAGCAGTTCAGCTACCTGGTAACGAGCCCAAGTGTCACAGCAGCCATTTGTCTGCAGCACTTTTCAGAGCAAGAAAGCTTACAGTCCCAGAAGTTGTCTAATGAAGGCGAGACCAGACCTCATACAGAAGGTACAAGGAGTGCTAGACCCTGAGAAGTAATTCACATACAGCAGGATGAAAACACTGCTCTAGAACACCACGATGAACCACATTTGAAAAGTATGCCTGGTCATAAAATAAACAGGAACTGGGTGTACGTGAACCAGGTTATTACAAGTCAGACAGTACAAACTGAACTTTGAAGAAGTCAATTGAAGGGCAGTTATAGTTCAAACACTGACACAGGCACCTTCTCAGAATGTTTCCTGTGGCTATCCAAGCCACACTAATGCAATTCACCAACATTGTTACTGAAACTTTGACCTTTGTGGGAGTACACTTGGAGAGTTCACTATTAAACTCCAACTGCAAGATTACTGTGGGCAACTGAGCTCATCAGAAGCATGTTGATTTCAAGACTTTTGTCTTTATTTCCAGTAAGAGGCAAGCCCAATTTCATCTGCTAACTTCCACATCAGAAATGCACAGTCTACACAGTCTCTTGAGACAATTACACAGTCACAGGGCACAAAAGGTATAGCAAGAAACTAGATTCAGTGTAGGGATATCCCCACTTGGAAAGACACTGACAGTCTGACATGACTGTGGAATGAGATAGATTTCAGAAAAAAGTTTGTTTCAAAACTATAAAGGCTAGTGTTAACTTCTATTTTAAAGTATGTAACCTTTTTTACACAATGAGCTAAAAGCCTTCAGAGGAAGCAGTTTAAGCAGAGTTCCTAGTGATATGCACCAAGTTACATCACTAGATAGGTGTTAAGCTAGCACAACAGAGAAATTCAATGCAAAACAAGCCTTACGTGGACTGCCTCAGCCACCCAGTGATACTTGGTCTCCTCAGTAGTGAGGCCTTTGTGGGGAGTGTAGCCAGCGTCTCTCAGCCCTGCCTGCTGCTCAAAGCGCTGAATGCTCTCCTGAGTCTGCTCTGGAACGGACAAGAGCACATATTCACACAGAAATGCCACCACAAGCAGTTCTAGCAAACAAAGGCAATTTAAGCAGCTGAATATAAGACCCTTTTTTTATCATTCATACCTACGTGTCGTGATGAGTTGACAGAGGCAGCAAGATGAAGCTAAGGAGAACTGAAAACTATCTGAATTGAAAACTATCCTGAGTCATAGGGCTGAGTCAGATCAACAGTGATTTGTCCCAAATCACCAGATTTATTACAAATGCAACACCTGTAATTAAACCCATCTCACCCAAGAAGCTGCATCACTCCTGATTATAACTTTCTAAATCCAGGAGACCCCAATAAACTGGACATTAAGTGATCCTCTAGATTCAAGGCAGGGTTTTTTGGCCAACAGCAAAATCAAGTCTTTCACCACCCCCACTATGTAATCTGACAGTCACAGCCTTGCAGAAGAGGTGGTAGACACTCCCAGTGATTCTAGATGAGGTAAAAGAAGCTATTTCAGCCAAACAGAGAATCTATAGAGCATCTAATACACTGATACCAACTTCCATTCTGAAAAATATAAGCACTTTCCCCCACTACACTAAGAAAAAATTCAAAAGGAATTAAGAGCGCAGAAAGATTACTGGAAAAGCCTTTAAAACAGATAACACTTCCCATATTAATGTTATTTGCAGGGATAATGCACTGTATATATAAGAAACCTAAGGACCTTTGTTAATTTCTAATCTGTGACTGAATGTTCTTCCTGAGAGGGGCTGCTGACTTCTGATAACACAAGAAGATTTTTAGGCTATCATAGTCTTAACTAGATTAGTATTTTATCATTAGACTAAAACAGGAGCTGCTGTCCAGAAGTCTATACTCCTGGATGTTATTTTCTGATATGTTGGTTATTTGAGTTATTTTTGAGCCAAGACTGAAATAAGTGCAAATGTATAGCTATTCCAAAATGCTGGTCTGAAAAATCCAGAAGCCTTTACAAGCACAGCTTGGAGGAAAAGATGAAGCTCATATCCCAGCTACTAAGAGGCAGCAGGGACAGATTAACACATGAATAATTCCTCATTGCAAATGGGCATGTCTTCTCTGCACACATAACTGACCCAATTTGATTTTAAGGGATCATGCTTTAGGAGGTTTGTTTTTTTTAAAGTGTTACTGTTGAGACAGCTGCTGCTGCTGCTGCTATTAACTAACATAAATGCCAGCCAGTGCTCCATTAGCACAGTATGCCAGGTCTCCACACCACTTTGGTTAATTTTAGAGCTCTACCTGTCATTCAGAAATAGAAAGTTAATAAGCAAACAGAGCAGCAGCAGCCACCGCCTCTGCACTACAGCAACAAGGTGGCACAGACTGCCGTGTCCTATCAGCAGATAATGTGCCCTGCACGCCTCCCCGTCACCCCCCTCCAGCACCTGGAAACAGAGGCAGTAATTGCGGCCTATTCCCTAGTTCCTTGCTTCCTTCTAGAAGCATCCTCCAAAGAAACTCATACAGCTCAAGAGCAGAGTCTAAACCCCCAGATTCTCCAGTAACCCTGGTAGTTACCTTGAGGCGTTACCAAGCTACAGAGCACACTTATGCCCATACCTCCTTAGTCACCACATCAGAGGTGAGCATTCTTACTTGTAATTAGAGAGTTCATGATGATGTGAGTGGCCTTGGCCTTCACCACAGGTATCTTGTTCACACTTTCAGTGGACGATGAAGGAGTTATGACAGGAGCATTCATATTGGCATCCCCTTCCTCAAGCTGTAGGGAAGAAGCAGGGGACAGTTTAAGATGAGAAAGTAGCTCAGCACCTTGCCAGGACACATCTTTAACTACTCAAATGAGACAAGGCCAAGCTGCTCTAGCAGCTATCCTACATCCCATGAGAGAAACCTGCACACTTTTCTCACTACAGCACAGGAACATTTAGAGCTTGAACTTTGTAATTCTTAGCCATGGACAAGCAACTTGCATCAAACATTTGAAAATCTACCAAGCTCAGAACCAGCAAGTTGTTAGCCTAAGTATAAAAAGGTCAACAGGACAGAAACCAGAACATATCTACTTCCATTCTCATAACTGCAAATCAGACTTCAAGATCAACTGGGCAAGAGCACCCTTCCATAGACAGCTCAAACACAAGCTCTTTACAGAACAGCAGTCTCACAGATAACAGGCTGGTGTTTAGATCTTGTTTTCCCCCTCATTTCTTGTATCAGTTTCCTGCTCAGTGTATCTAGTGGTCACAGCTCTACCACTGATTATGAGACCCTAGCAACAAAGAACCAGACAATGAATGCTAGAAAACAAGAAATCCTGTGAAACAGACTTCCTCCACCTAACACAGGAGTTACTGTTTCCTGACATGACAGTTTGCTTTTTGCACCAAGACACAAGTTTAGGTTTTCTTCCACAAGAAAGATTTTTTAAAACAAAATAAGGCAAAAAGTAAAGGTTAAACTTAAAAGCATGCAGTTATCTACTTCTATTCATCATTTAACTTCACTTCAAACTTTAGAAAACAGCCTCTAAATTTAAGAGTTGATCCTTCACTCAAAAGCATCCCCATAGTAATTTCATAAAGTTTAGGCCAGGCAAAACTTTCACTCAATGAGACTGCTCACAGCGTCATCCCACCAAAGTTTGAACACTTCCAGGAAGGGTACATTTACAACCTCTCTGGGCAACGTTTTTCAGTGCCTCACCACCCTCACCATAAAGAGTTTACATCCAACCTAAATCTACTCTTTTGCTCTGGTTTAATTACACCTGGTTACAGCTTGAAGACTCTACCCATAAGGAATCTCACATAACACACCTATCTCAGCCATACCTCAGTGTTCTCACAACTGGGCCTGGCGGCGAAGCCGGTCTCTTGTCCCCAGCACCCCCCTAGGGCCCACCAGGTCTCTGCTGCGGAGCCCGGGGGTGGGCAGCTCACCCGGTGCGGTTCACCGGCCAGGCAGGAGGGCTGCCGGGGACATAGAGGCCGGTCCCGGGCCAGGGCCACCGCGGCAACCGGCCGGCCCGTACCTTCGAGAGCTCCTGGTACTTTCGCTCGGGGATGACCGGCTGCTTCCAGAGGACGTTGGCGCACA